CGCGCGCGCGCGCACACACACACATGCACACACGCCCCTTGTTACATATGCGCATGGGTTCCCCGCTGGCTGTGAGTTTTGTGACATGCACGGCGTATGACGGCAGTCCCCGCCCTGTCCTACCCTCCCTACCCCACTCTCCGGCCGGCAACAGCTGGTCTCTCACTCGCTGTCAACTCTGTCCGTGTGCGTGTGTGTGAGTGAGTGAGCGCTTTATCCCCTCTCTCTCTATCTCTCTCTCAATGCCTACTGTACCCCTCCCCTTCCTCCTCCCCACTCACTAAAATTCTGCCGTCTGCTTTCGTCTCCACTTTCTACCCCCACCCCCTCACCTCACTAGTATAACTCTCTCATCCTACCCCTCCTCCTCCTCCCCACTCACTAACTCTCTCATCCCACCCCTCCTCCTCCTCCTCACTTACTGACTCTCTCATCCCATCCCCGTGTCGCTGTCATCCCAGTCATAGCACACTCACACACACTTTCCGCACTCGCGTTGGGTAGTCTTTCTATGTTATTGAGTCCTAACAGACATGATCGGCTCAGGTAACCAGCACATCGCCGGATGGGAGCGTGGAGGTAAGCCGAGAAGTTATTTATTCGTGTTTGCTATATATTATATTAACATCATCATGATTGTGGCCGGCAAGCTGTTCAAATAGACCAAGCCCAAAATGTAACATTTTATTCAGGAGAAGGAAAATACTGCGACATTCTTTTAACAACTGTACCTACATTATGTAATTTTTTAGCTTTTTTTTGGGGGGGGGCATTTAGAATTTGAATTTGGACAAAATGTTTCTTGAGCACGCGCAACCGTTACCACCTATTTTTTTTAAACCTGCATTTTTAAAAATAGAAATGAAAAAGAATAAGCTATAATAGAATTAGATCTAGATCTAGTACATCTGAACATCTGGCTGACGTTATAGGTAGGCCTATGTAACCTACACAGTTGACAACGCTGTTTGCTAGAGTCATTGCTAGTGTGGAGGTGTGGGTGGTTGGACATCCAACAAGAGGCAATCTTTTTTGGAACGTTTTGTATCGCATTTGTTGGATTCGGGTAATAGTAGTTAGGGTTTGGGTCCCTTTTCATATTCCCTAACCATAATTAACCGAATCTAGCTGAATAAAACACCTGAACTTTCATTTGTATTTCTCTAATCCTGCAAATATGAATATAACTCTCCGAACTGGAAGATTGTCGGACAATTAGTCAATTATACCCGTACACACGTATGAAACAGCTGGGGGGGAGGGGGGGTTATGTGTATGTTTGTATGCGTGCAGATGTCTTTGCATGTGCTTTCATGTGTGTGTGTGTGAGAGAGAGAGAGAGAGTGTATGTGTGCGCGCGTGCAAGTGCGAATATTATTATAATAACATGTGTGGTGGGTTTCTTTCCCCTAGTC